AAAAAAAAAAAAAGAAAAGAAATATAGGGATCAATGATTAAAGGAAGAGCCAAGAGTTGAAAATTCCTTCTGAGGAGTGGGACTCAGTGGTGCGGAGATGTGGGCAGGGGACTGTTGTTTTTCTTTATAAGCCTAGGAGTGCTTTTGACTTTTAAAGCCATGTTCATGTAACATATTGATTAAAGAGTAATATTTTTATTTTTTAGAATGATATCAGGAGAGCCAAAACACATCATTGTGCCCTGACAATGTTGGAGTGAGGGAGAAGGGCAGCTTAGTAGCCAGCCATCAGAAAACTCTACTGCCTTCCAAATCAAGTGAAGCAGAAGCCCCTACATACTGTGTGCCCCAGGGGCTTTCCTCCAGCTTTCCTAGGCAAAGAAAGAGAGTCAGAGCCTGGCATTTTTCCTATAGCTAAGAATGGTTAGACATAGACATCTAGAGGCAGATATGGATGATAAATAGATGGCAAGCAAGAGGATATATTGGAGTATATGAGGAAGCCATTTGATGTAAAACTAATCATCCTGACCTTGTTTTTCCAAAAGGGTCCTGTGGCCTCTGAACATTCATTGTATATCTGCTTTAAGCAATTAACATGTCCCAAAGAGAAGAATAAACGCCCTTAAGATAAGGATGCAACTTCCCCAACATTGGCATTTCCTTAAGGATAAGCATTTCTCCCTAGGCTAGGATTTGATTGCTGTGCTCATCCTGTGACCACCCAACTCAAGACAACAGACCTGCCACCAGCCACACCCATGGAGACAGCAGACCTGCTACCTGCTCTCTCCGTCACTTGCTATGCTAACAGGGCAATCTCGTGACTGCTGTAAAAGGGACACTGCAATCATATGTGATACATGCTCTTTGACGGTATATAACTGCTCTGTACACCCCACTTCTTTGGTGCCCTTCTTTCCTTGGGGAAGGAAGGCCCTGGGCTATATGGTCCTCAAATTTGGCTCATAAATAAACTCACCCCAATTTTGATTTATAGATTGATTATGGATTATTTCTGTCGACATAGACATCGACGTGAATTCATATGTACAGTCATGCATTGCTTAACGACGTGGATATGTTTTGAGAAATGCGTCATTAGGCAATTTTGTCGCTGGGCAATTTTGTCATTGGGCGATTTTGTCATTGTGTGAACATCATAGAGTATACTTACACAAACCTGGGTCGTATAGCCTACCACACACCTAGGATACATGGCACTAATCTTACGGGACCACCATCTTATATGTAGTCAGTCCATCATTGACCAGAACATCGTTATGTGGCACATGACTGTACATATATCCAAATGAATATGTACATTCTATCTTTGGAAACATTTTTTCCCTTGGTATTTTGTAGGTAAACAATCACATAACATGCAAATACTAGCAGTTTTACTTCTTTTTTGACTGTTATTCATTCATTTGTTTTCTTGCATTAAATTAGTGGCTAGGTCTTACAGTAATGTTACTGCACCAGGTCCGTTTTTGCCCGCTACCTAGAAAGCCAATCACCAACACGACGAGATTGCAGAGAGAGAGGGTTTAATCACCAGGCAGCCAAGTGTGGAAACAGGAGAACAAGTCTCAAATCCGCCTCCTCAAAAATAGGGACTCGGGTATTTAAGGGGAAGGGGGCAAGGTGGTCTGAAATGATTGGAGGTGAGGAGAGATGAGGTGATTGATGATCTGAGCAAGCGTAGTCAGGCTTCATGCCTCTTCATAGGACGCATGTTCACAGAATGGCGGCATTAGAATGCCCTGAGAGTGGAGTTCCAACTTCTTGCCGTCAAAAGGGCCCAGTTGATGGGTTGGTGGTCTCAATCAGGCCTGAAGTGGATAAGGGGTTCAATTCCTGAAAAAATAGCTCAAACACCCATTACCATGGTGACCCCGGCTCCAGGGGGATGTTACCTGTAGGAACCTAGTGGGAGTCAGATAGCACATTCCCTAAACAGCACAGTTAACAATGGGTAAGTTTATCATGCAAATTTAAGTCATCGCCTTCCGCCTTCTGTTCTAAGTTTCTAGGTAAGGCCATCCCCTCCTTCTTCCTGGTACAGGGAAGAAGATACCTTTACAAATGGAGATTTTCTTTACAAATGTAAATGTCTTTTATAAAGGGCAACCAGAACTAAGAATGGGCTTGGCACGGACCCATTCAGATACCCGATGTCTATGGTAATGGCCTGTTCTGGGGGCAGTCCTCCCATCCCAAATTCCTTTGGTTAGTTAGTGGGGGTGGGGGCCAATTCTGATCCCCCATAGTTACTACCTGCTTAATCATCAATGGCTGTTTGCCGGTTTCAGTAAAATGTTGAATAAGAGTATCGAAAGCATTCTTGCCTTGTTTTTTATCTCCTGGGGAAATTAAAATCATCCCTAATTTACAAACGTGAGTAGATAATTAAGGATCACTGGAAATTTAAAAGAAAATCAATCAGCACGATAGAAGGAGCAAGATGAAAAACAGACAACTTACCCCTGAGGGAAAAACAAGTGATTCAGGAAGCATTTATAGGGTGAAGACGAGAGGTCCTGGACGGGGAGCACAGACTGGGTTTGCTGGTTGTGTCCCTGCAGCGTGGTTTCACACGCTCTTCCCTCCTCCGTGTCTGTAATTCTGTTAATTGATAGTTGAATGTAGAGGCTTAATCAGATTCAGCTTCAGTTTTTGTTTGGCAAGACTCTTACAAAGGTGGAGTGTGTTCTTCCGTCAGGAGCAACATTCACTGGCTGGCTCCTTTTGTGATGTTAGCAGCCGTTGATACTCAGTGCCTGGATTCCATCAGTTATTTAGGGCCTTCTATTAATTTAAAGTAATTTCAAAGAAAAATTAGTTTTAAAAAGAAAAAGAAAAAAATTTAAACATACGCACAGTGGTACAGTAGGTATAAATTAAAAGAACAAAATTTACACCGATTCTAAAATGGTCTCCATTCACCCCTGTTACAGCAGCTCAGCCAGTTTTGGTATAGTCGGGAGACGGCTCTGCAGCTTGCAGAGGAAGCAATTACAGCTGCGGGACACGGTGGCAGGTGAGGCTCACATTGTCTTTGTCTTTTGTCTTTTAATCTAAAGTAATTTTTTAAATGTCCGTCTGAACTATAATCTGCAAAAATTGTAGTTCATGGTTTGCAGAACAGGAGGAATTAAGAATGGCTCTCATACTGAGTACAGGGATACACTCAGAAATCTATTCGTTGTAAGATGTCTTAACTCTGTTCTTTATTTTAACATTTTCTAACCTGGGTATAACCCCTAGAGTTGGTTTTAAAAGAAAAAAATCTCAATGTTTGACATTTTGAAGTTTTAAGAATATAGGTTTTCTTTTTTGTTAATTTGGTTTTTATTTTTATCAAAATTTTGCATGCATATAATTTAAAGTCAGTGGTCTTAAAAGACGTGTTCAAAAAAATATCCATTGCTAATTTCCCCGTTGTTCAGCCTCCCTTTTCAGCTCCCTTTCAGCTGATTCTCTTGGTATTTACAACCATACGCTTGTGTTGGCTCTTCTCGATTGGTCACTTGTACGTCATCTCTTGACTTCCCATAGTAGAGAATGAGGGCTCAGCTCCCCTTCATACTCCGTCTCTACCACATGCGTGCGTGCTTTCTGTCCACACTCCCAGTAGAGTTACATCCTCATTTTGGTTTATGTTGTTATGACAACAAATGTTCTTTACAGCTGAGTCTTTTACTTTTCCTGTTCTGTACAATTTTTCATTTTCTCTGAAGAAAATAATTCTATTTTTTATGTATTTCTATGTCCATATCACTAATTAACCCTCAAATTCTCCCCCAGTTCTGTAAATCTCCTATCAACAAATTAAAACATATTTCAACTCCTTGAAAAGAATCTCTCCCAGGGCTTTGCAGCCTGCTCTGGTCTGGACTGGTGGATGTCCAGCGTGGCTGCAGCTCTTTTATCTCCTTCACCATCTGCTGAGGAGTCCTTTCACCTCTCTTTTGTTCTGGATTCCTTGTTTCCGGTACCCCAGTTCTTAGTTTACAGCTTTATCTTGGTTGGTGGCATCCTTCAATAGTTTCCACAGAAAAGATACATGGGAGGGAAATTTTAAAAAACCTTCCATGTCTGAAAATACCTTTATTCTACCCTTACTCTTGGTCGTGATAGTTTTGTTGGGTATCAAATTCCAGGTTTTGTGGGCATTGCTTCGCTGCCTTCCAGTTTCCATGGGTGCTATTGAAAAGTCCAATGCCGTTCTGATTTCCTGTAGGAAACCCGTTTTTTGCCCATCCCTGCCCACTGCAAGCTTAGGATTTTCTCTTAATCTCCAGTATTCGATGTGTCTTGGTGTGGAGCTTTCATCTGTTGTGCTGGGTGGAAACTGTTTTCGTTCTCATCACTCGTGTCCTTCAGTTTGGGAAAATTGTCTTAAATTATTTATTTGATTCCCTCCCCACTGTTTTTTCTGTTCCTCTTTCTGGAACTCCTATTATTTGAATGTTGGACCTGATCTTCTACTTTCTCTCTCTCTTTTTTCCATCTATTGTCTTTTTTACCTTTTTTACTTTCTGGGAAAATTTCTCAACTTCGTCTTCTAAACTTTCTACTGAGTTTACCATTTCTGTTATCCCATACTTAATCATCTGTAGTTCTTTTTTGGGTCTCCAAATATTTCTTTATTATTGTATCTTGTTCATCCTTCTGAGGATATTAATTACAGGATTTTTTTAAAAAGTTTTCTTCCTCCTGCATAGTCTGTTTACTCCAACATGCCTTTTCTGTTTGTATATTTTGGCCTCTAATATTAGATGTTTTCCTTAAATGTCTGTTGACCTTCTGCTGTCCATTCATATTTAAGGGTAGGGCACTTAAAAGCTGGATGCTTTGATCCATGAGCAGGCCTTATCTACTTTGGTCTCTACAGTTGGATAATCTGGATGAGATTTTTTATAGGAAACCCCGAGTGTCAATATGTCTAGGTCTTTCCTTGTGGGCTGGTCAGAGCTCCAGGGAAGAGCCTTCTAATATCTGCCTGGAATTATACATCTCATTGATGTCATCCTGGGAGGCACAGTGCTAAAAAAGGCTGGAGGTCTCGATATCCAGAGAGTTTAACTTAATCCTTGTTATTTCCACACGGCACCTCATCACTAACTGTGCCTGGCATTCCCCCTATGAGCTCCCCCAATCCAGAGAACATCCCCCTAGTTTTTTGTCATAGTTGTGGAGGGGCAGATACCTGGAGGCTTGGGTTAGAGAAGAGAATCCTGGGAACAAATTCTTTGTTAAATAGACCTTTCAGTGAGTTCTCCTGGTTTTAGCCTCACTTGCACCTCTCCTTCTCGAGTTACCTGGTTCTGCCGCTTGCTGAGCCTTTGGAGGTGCTGTAGTGTAAACCAGGTTGTTCTCAGCTTCCCTGGCTGCCAATTTAGGGTTTGGCTTTCTTGGGTCTGCTGCGTCAAATACCACCCATCCATTTGCTTTTCAGCTTCCTAAGTGTTGTTTCTTTTGTTTCGTCTCGCATTGTCTTTGCTCTCGGAGGTTTATGCTTAAACAACAAAACAAAACAAAATTTTACTCATGTTTTATTTAGTAGGCTTTCATGAGGGAGCAAATCTAAATGAATGTGTTCCATCTTTAACTAGAAGTCTTAAGTTT